AAAGAGGATTCTAAAAGTTTTATTTGAAAAAATTCAGGACCAAGTATTTTGGGACAATGGTTTTGATTCTGCTAATCAACTAGCAGGCAGAGAGTATTACAGGGGTGGAGTTACAGAAATCCTGATGGGCAGAAAGTACATCAAGAAATAAAAGAAGCTTTAGGAACATTAGAAAGGATAGAAATCAACTGAGTCTTTGGGAAAAACATGAGCATTTTCTTTTTTTATTTTTTTTCATAAATTGGTAAAAACCTTTGAATTCTGTTGACAATGCATGTGACAGATTATAGATCAACGGGCTCTGAGGTGGCCCAGCATCAGACAACAATAACGAAAACAAAAAACCACAGCTGCAGCATGGAGGCCAAGAAACCCCATATGAAGTTACACAAAATCAGGAAGTGGAAACATTTGATAAAAGGCCTTGCGTGTTACCCAAATTTTATCAGATGCAAATTCTGCAGCATTGACCATCTACAAGACCTGACATCTCCAAGGAAATTAAAGTGACTCTCTAAAAAAAAAAAACCCAAGAGCTCTACAATTCTCCTGCCGTAAAGACTTGTTGGGGGTTTATTTTGGGGGGTGGGGAGAGAAAAAAAAAAACCATGATGGGATCCTGTTAATACCACAGCTGTATAAACAACTTTTAAAGATCTCTTTCACTTACGTGGAATCTTCGTATTCTACCCATTGGTACATTTCCACGTTACGCTTAAGTTTGACAGCCTGGATGGAGAGCCCATAGCTGGGATCAAACAAAGGCTATTTAAAAATTAAAGAAAATAAAAGTCAGTATAAATGCTATACCTCACAAACTCAAACACTGTACTTTTATTATCAAACCTACTTACACACCTCACTGTACATAGTACTGTGTCACACACAGTTGAATATAGAATAAATGTTATGAAAGACAAAAAGGAGCATCTCTTTATATCACTGATAAATCTGACCTAAAGAATCATTATCAAAAATTATTGCCATAGTGAAGAATAAAACCAGAAATGCTGGGTAATGGTATGTGGGCTCAACTGTTGAAACCAGAGGAAGATTTTATTTTGCTGGAAGCTACTGTGCTGTGTTACCTTCTGCAGTGCAGTGAGCACAGAAAATGCCATCGCTCCTGCAAAGTCAGAACTTGCAGAGCCTCTGTACTGCAAGAGCCTGAAGACTTTTCAACACCAGGAATACACAACAGGTTCCCTGTACAAAGGGGAATTGAAATTATCCACCGAAGGCAGTGGGAGGGTAAACACAGCTAGAGGTAGCATGCTGCCTGGGAGCAGGGAGACCGAGGCTGTACAGCATCTCCCCGATTCTGGGCCAAGAACCAAAGCTTGGGTGGTAGCTGGCAATGCTTGCAGGGGAGGAGAGAAGCTACATGTCTTCTCCCTGGATATCAAACATAATTTTAATTTTAAGACTTTTCCTTCCCTCCAAGCTTGAAATACTCATATCTTCAAGATACTATTTTATTTACCTTAGATGTACTCAGAGCGCCAGCTAAGTGCACCAATCTCCCTTCGTTCTGCTGAGACACACTGTGGATGCTATCAAGAGGGATCACAAGAGAAAGTCCCTCATCAAGAGATTTGGCTGTCCTTAAAGCTCGTCCCTGCAATCAAGAAAAGCAAAATCAAGTTGTGGAGAATCAATGGTACAGCAGTGTTTTGTGAAAAAGGTTGGCAGACAAGTGATCTGAAGACCGCAAGGAATGCTTACATACTCACCCTCAAGGCAGATTCTCAAAACACACTTGTACTTCTCCACTCCCTCTTTCTCTGTCTCTGATACAGTTTGGGCCGGTATTTCTCACCCATGCAGCAGGACCATTAACACTGACTAAGCTCCTCAAACACACATAGATTATTCCTACAAGAGTCCAAAGCTCTTCACCTCTTACCGTGTTCATTGTTCATAAATAACTGCAAAAATGATGCCAATTATGGCCCTTTTTCCACAGACCCATATGACTACTTGGCAGAAGTTTTCCTTACCTTACCATCTGTGCTGGTTTTGGCTGGGGTAGAGTTAATTTTCTTCATAGTAGCTAGTATGGGGCTATGGTTTGGATTTGTGCTGGAAACAGCGTTGATAACACAGAGGTGTTTTCGTTACTGCTGAGCAGCACTTACACAGAGTCAAGGCCTTTTCTGCCTCTCATCCCACCCCACCGGCGAGGGGGGGGGCACAAGGAGCTGGGAGGGGACACAGCTGGGACAGCTGACCCCAGCTGGCCACAGGGATATCCCACACCGTACGGCGTCGTGCCCAGCGTATAAAGCTGAAGAAGAAGGAGGAAGAGGGGGACGGTCGGAGTGACGGCGTTTGTCTTCCCAAGTAACCGTTACACGTGATGGAGCCCTGCTTTCCTGGAGATGGCTGAGCACCTGCCTCCCAGTAGGAAGCAGTGAATGAATTCCTTGTCTTGCTTTGCTTGCGTGCGCGGCTTTTGCTTTGCCTGTTAAACTTTCTTTATCTCAACCCACGCGTTTAATCACTTTTACCCTTCCGATTCTCTCCCCCATCCCACCGGCGGGAGGAGTGAGCGAGCGGCTGGGTGGGGCTTAGTTGCCAGCTGGGGGTAAACCATGACACCATCATGTTATGACGTGCTTTCCTGCAAAGTCACGGAAACTGGGAGTAGTTCTGTTTCCTCTTGTGGAGGTACAAAAGGAAGTCTTAGGTGCAAATTCACAGAATTCTGCTCTCCCACTCCAAAACTGCCAAAAGCATGTAAGTTTGCAACGGTAGGGTGTTAGGATTCCCTGCTTGCTTAAATTATTTTTTCAATCTAAAACCAAGACATAAAATAACACTGACAATAATTAACACCTTCAATTTTGCAACATGGAGTATGAATTCCTTTAACGCAATTATAACAACACTAGAAATGAGGACCTTACATTATCCCAAGAAAAGAGAGAAGACTGGAACATGGCTGGCTCATATAACCCTCTTTCGATAATACTACAGCCTGTTTCTGCACCAGCTCACAGGTTTTGGATCTTATCTCTCATCACACACTGCCACTGTCTCTACTACACTCAGTTCTACAGATTGTCTACAGCCCAGTGATTTTACTCTTCTGTTGTATCTCAAGGATAAGCGCCAGACTCTCCAGACATAACGTCCTCTTCTCATGGATGAAGTAATAAAGCTTTGACATAATCATTTTAGTAAGCCTATAAATGCAAAATTAGTTGAATGTCACGTCAGCTGTGACATTTTAAAGCTGCATATAAGCACTGATGGTACTTCACTTACTTCATTGGTGAAAAGAAGGTAGAAAGACAGAAGAAATGTCACAAGTCCCATCAACATGCCTCCAGAAGTCTCGCTGAGCCTCTCCAGGAACCCTGGTTTGGACTCACTTGTGATTTTAACATGTTCTTTTCTGCTGCCTGTATCAGAGAACTGTTGGAGATAAACCAAAAAATGCAATATTTGTGCGATAGGGGAAGGCATTCTGTTTCAAAAGAAGTCTTTTAGCTTTGTTAATACTGCTGCTCTAGAGTAGCACCTCTTGCCTTGAACCAAAACTTTCCTGCACTTATTAAATGCCTCATCATACTTTTGACACCAGAAAAACAGTCAATAAGTAAAACTCAAGCCTAACGGAAAAAAACATTGCTATTATAGTGTTTCAACACGTTCCTTCAAGCTTTCTTCAGTCTGTATCTAGGTTCCCTATTTGGTGTCCACATTCTGCATTCGGGCCATGACAAATTGAGTAATACTCCTGAATTCCAGACCAGCTGAAACATAGCTATAAATAACAAGTTACATTTTACCTCACCAGTGGTAAGTGCCTCCATACTTTAAAATAGTTGTCTTTAGAGCAACAAACAGAGATAGCTTAAAACAAAATTGTTATTGCTGTCCTAGCCAGTGCCACATCAAAGCGTAAAAGCCCAGGGGTTTATGGCTGTGGGGAATAACCAAGAAATAACTTCAGATTAGCACACGTAGCCAAGACAGGAGGCGAGGCTTCTCTTTTGCTCACGTCGAGGCGCCAGGCGGGAGGTGGCCGCGGCCCCTCGGCTGCGCCAGGCGCCGCACAGGGCCCCTCGCCTCAGGGGGGAGCGGCCGGAGCGGGAACGGGACGACCCAGGGGACCGCCCCACGCAGCGCGGAGTAACGGCAGTGACCGGCCCGAGCAGCACTTACATTCCTCGGCATCTTGAGCCTTGTACCACCTCGGAGAAGCCGCAGGAACCACCGCAAGAGCCACGCACCGACAGCCGCGCCCTCCTCCTCAGGGCTCAGCCGTCCCTCCCGCCTCCGAGCCGCTCCCCGCAATGCATGCCGGGACACGTAGTTCCCGCCTGGGACACGAAGCCCTCCCCGGCCGGGCGCGGTGCAGGCTGGGAGGTGTAGTCCCGCGCCGAGGCCGCGCCTGACAGAGCCGGCTGCTCCCTCCCCGGCGCCGGCTCTCGGTCGGCAGGAGGTGCGTCAGCGGCCGCCGGCGGGCAGGGAAGGTCCTTCCGGAGGCGGGAGGTCATAGCGTGGAGCGGCGCGGCGCTGCCCGTTGCTGTGGCTGTGGTGGAGGAGGAGGAGCGGAGGCGGCGGCGGGGAAGCGGCGGCGGGGTCAGTCAGCGCGCACGCTGCGGGGGAAGGCGCCGGACGGCTCCGCCATGTCCTACTGCAGGCAAGAAGGTGCGCCCGGGTGTCCTCCCAATGTCAACGCTGCCGGGACGGGCGGGCTCGCCCTGAGGCGGCCGGGGGTGGGGGGGCGATGCGGGGCGGCTGCCCGCTCGCCTCAGCCCGTGAAGGGAAGACGCAGCCTGAGGGGAGAAGAGGCGCGAAAAGGCTGCCTCGCCTCCCTCCTCCGACCTTTCTCCTCACAGTAGGCGGGAAGGCGCGGCGGGGCGGTTGGCCGTGAGGCGGGAGAGGACGCAGAGGGCCTCTGGCCTGCGCCGTGGTGCCCGCGGGCTGGTGGTGCCCACAGCGGCCTGGCGGCGGTGGCGGCCCGGGGAGGGCGCGAGAGC